TTTTGTAACACGTCAAGATGATCCTGCAGCATTTTTGATGTGGTTATGGGATCTTCATGTGTTGCCAGTATGCCTGTGTCGTCAGCATATGTTGCTGTCAAAATGCCATCTTTCTGCGGTAGGTCCGCAGTGTATATGAGGTATAATAGTGGCCCAAGGACACTACCTTGAGGCACTCCCGATCTGACTGGATGTGATGTGGATTTTTCACCCCTTACACTAATGAGAACAGTCGAAAATCAAGCAATTTTGTACGAAGACAAGTCAAGTGCTGTGATCAGAATAGAGGAAATGATTCAATTAACTAACTAGAAAACCTAACTAGCTGTTCTCATAAAAAATTGATTTCACAATTTTGGTTTAGATAAAAGATAAAAATAATCCAACAACCAAAGGAAGTACATGCTACCTTTGATGCAGTGTTAGATTTCGTAATTGCACCTTTTTGTGTAAAGATATCATGGCAAATTTAATTCAAACTTTTTCGTTGGCAGAGTTCTTTTTGCGTTGCAATTTGCCTTGGTACTTCCCCTTTCTATTTTTGAAGAATTAATTCAGATTAGTTTTGCAATTAGACTTATGGACCTATTCTGCCGCATAACAGAAAAATGTTATGGCAAGGCTGTGTAATGAAGAACTTTTCATACTAAATATTGAGAAAGCCATGTAGTTGCTGTGCAGTCAGGCGTATTTCTGAAGTTGTCAGATAGAAAATCTAATCTAGAAACCGCACAAATGTCAAAAAAACGATCGTAGATAACAGGGTCTTTCTGACCCAGCTTCATGACATACGAGTGCGTTGCAGTTTATATGTAAAACGACTGAATGCACAGCTAATACATGACATTTTGACAGTATGATTCAGTAGCATAATGTATGGAAGTTAGAGCGTAACATGGTCTTGCCATAACATTTTTCTACTATGCGGCAGAATCGGTCCCTTAGTTTCTAAAATATAGTTTTATTTTCGTGTTACTTAAAATGTTTGAGCACGTAAATATGCATAAAAAATAACAGAAAAATGTTATGGCAAGGCTGTGTTATGAAGAACTTTTCATACTAAATATTGACAAAGCCATGTGGTTGGTGTGCAGTCAGACGTATTTCTCAAGTTGTCAGATAGAGAATCTAATCTAGAAACCGCACAAATGTCAAAAAAACGATCGTAGGTAACAGGGTCTTTCTGACCCAGCTTCATAACATACGAGTGCGTTGCAGTTTATATGTAAAACGACTGAATGCACAGCTAATACATGACATTTTGACAGTATTGATTCAGTAGCATAATGTATGGAAGTTGGAGCGGAACATGGTCTTGCCATAACATTTTTCTACTAAGCGGCAGAATCGGTTCCTTAGTTTCTAAAATATACTTATATTTTCGTGTTAGTTAAAATGTCTGAGCACGAAAATATGCATAAAAAATAAATAAATAAATAATTGATTATATTGCTTTTATTGAAACAGTTTGGTGAACACGTCAATCGTTATTTTACAAATTATAATATATCTATTGTATTTTCACACCCATTTAGTATCATTTTGTTCCCTTTCACTTGTAAATAACATTACAAAATAGTTTTAAAAAACTTAATATGCCATGCAAAAAACAACTAATATTAAAATTAATACACACATGAGCCGATTCTCGAATAAAATAGAAATGTTATGGTAATGTTATGTTTTTTATGTCTTTGATAACACATACATGAAGTTAGGTTTTATGTGTCAAACAATAATGTCAACAACTGATGTCACAACAAATACATAGTATTTTGACCAACCTACCAACTCATACGATTAAAATAACATTTTTATTTTATCCAAAAATCGATTCCTCAAATCAGTGGGGCAATTCTACCGTAACCTAGAAGATACGATAGCGTTGTTATGGCAACGCTATGTTATGCTTGTTTATTGGTAGTGAAAACTGTGAAAATGTCTTGGTATAATAAAAAATGATTCTTTAAAATTACTCAGTTTATTTTAGATGTTACTTGTTTCACGGTTCAGCAAGAAAAGAGTTATTTTACATAGTTTTAACATAAACAAAAATATAAGATGGCGGATAAATAATTATATTAAGGGAACATTATTGCCAACATTACTAATAGTAATGGCGGGACATTTGAATTACAAATATATATAACATTACATTTGACATTACATAAGAAAAATGTGACAAACAATTTTGTCCATGTCTATCTATTTGCTGTGCGGTTAAGCGAATTTTACATATAAACAAGCAAAGAAAAATCTTATGATAACTGCATCTTCGAAAATTCTGTTATCATAAGATTCTCCATTGCTTGTTTATATGTACAATACGCCTAATCGCACAGCAAATGGGTAGACATCTTCACTGTTTTTACTACCAATAAACAAGCATAGCATAGCATAGCGTTGCCATGACGACGCTATCTTATTGTCTATGTACAGCAAAATTGGCGCATAAATATATAATATAGTAAAAAATATTTATTTGATAGAATTCTGTAATACTTTTTCAACAAGATTCGTTAATTTGTATAAAAAATGCTAGGCCATACTAAAAAATTTATTGAATGATAAAAGACTTATTTTTATTTCATTATTGGAAGCATTCTCAAGAAGTTACTTAACTACTCAAATACGTAAACAAATATTTGTTTATAATAAAATATATAAACTATGAATTGTTATTATTAAAAAAATATAATAACAAATATTTCTTAAAGAAGAAATTTATTTACTTCCCATAGGATAAGATATTGTAACCGTCAAAAAAACCGAAAATGAAAATTTTTGTATATCTATTATATAAAAATAAGTCGGGTTTTCCTTCCTGACGATATAACTCCAGAACGCACGAACCGATTTCGACGATTTTGCATTCGATGGAAAGGTCTCGGACTCCGTGAGGTTTATAGCAAAGAAAATTAAAGGAAGATTTCAACAGAAAAGCGGAAAATACTTTTACTGTTTTCACATACAGCGTCATCTCTATACTACCAACTAAAATTTTTTGTTTGAGAGCTACTCAGAGAGACAAACCGGCATTGTGTTCACTGTGAAATTGTACAAAAAAAGTAAAAAAAAATAGATATTCGTTTCCTAACATTTCAATTGGAAACCATCAAATCAATCACGTGTAATGTGCAAATTTTCATTCAATTTCAACAGCAGAAAATTTTTTTCTTCACCTTCTAATCATCAAACGAAATGTTACATAAAATGAATCTATCTGGTGGTGAAGCGGAGTTGGCCCGGTTTGCCAGTCTTGTGTATTTATATAAAGAGCTAAATATGCAAAAAATGGTCGTTTTTGAGAGAATGAAGCATCCGATTTGAATTATTCAAAAAAATCGATTCTTAGTGATGGGGCGAGGTGCTGATTAGTTTTTGGCAAAAGTAGGTCCAGCCGTTTCGGAGATATAGAGCAAAGAATGCCGAAAACAGAAATCGAGATTTTGAGAGAACGGAGCATTCGATTTGAATGATTCAAAAAACATTAAAATCGTAAGTAGTATTTGGCAAAGGCAGGTCCAGCCGTTTTGGAGGTAAAGCGCTAAATGTGCAAAAAATGGTCGTTTTTGAGAGAACGAAGCATCCGATTTGAATGATTCAAAAAAACCTTTGTTTATATTGACAAAACGATTGTTTTTGGAAAAGCAATTTTTTTACAGAATAAATAAAATAAAAAAAATTTGCTTTCCCCAAAATAATCGTTTCTAGCTAAAATTCTATTGCTCACTTATATACTTAAAATAAATAATTTTAACTTTGCAATTCAATTTATATATTTCTTATAAATATGAGATAAAGTCCTTCATTCTAATTTTACTTCATTAAGTTTTGTTTATTTAGGTTTTATATAAACATTTATAAACGACATTGACTAATTTAATAAACTGTTATATTTTATCTATAAGGAATAAATAATATCTATTCATTATTGAATGCTAATTTTTATTTCTTAATTGTTGTACGGAAAGTTCTAGCAATTTGCCTTAAAGCACGATGCTATACACCACCTGTTTTTCCTAATTTCGGTGTCAAACGATTCAGAATGACTTGGAACAACGAGAAAATAAAAGATTCACAAGTTTACTATAATCTAAGTAATAAATAAATAAATGAACTACTGGTGTATGGCATCGTGCCTTAAGGCAAATTGCTGGAACTTCCCGTACCGTAACGAAATAATCGAGAAATATTAAATCTTTTCAACTAAATTTTTATAAATATTGTACTAGTCTAATATTTATAAGAATTATATAAACTGAATTGCAAAGTTAAAATTATTTATATAAAGTATATAAGTGAGCTTTAGAACTTTAGCCAGAATTAAAATTAATATCTGAATTATTTTCGATATAATATATATATTATATATATATATATATATATATATATATATATATATATATATTCAAAAGCAATTATTTTGTTAAAACAAGCAGAAAGTTCTTTGAATCATTCAAATCGGATGCTTAGTTCTCTCAAAGACTGCAATTTTTTGCACAATTTGCTCTGTATCTTCGAAATGGCTGGACCTGCCTTTGCCAAAAGCTAATCAGTACATCTCGCTATCAATAGGAATCGAATGTTTTTCGAATCATTCAAATCGGTTGATCCGTGCGCCCGAAAACGTGGACGAAAAATTGTATCCATACATACATACATACACACACATATCCGTTTTTTTCTGAGGTATGCCAAAATGTTCAGAAACCCTCAAAACGTCGAGAAGATCAAAAAATTTCATTTTTGATTTTCGGCCCATTACTATAACTATCCTACAGGAAGTTAATAAATGCTAATTTGATAAAATTTTTGATAATTTGTGATTTCAATCATATCAAATTGTTTAAAAATTAATACTAGACATTGTTTGGTTTGTAGCACACTACGATAAAAATCTTGAAATATATATAAAAAATTTATTTGGCACCTTTTTTAATATCTTTCTTACCCCTCATTATAACTATTTAGTCTTCTTTACACCCCTATCTTCCCTCTCAGACAATATTGTGAGTCTTCATATGACGTTGCAACAAAGGCGACTGTGTAAATCCCTTTCCACAAACCGTGCACTTATAGGGCCTTTCTCCTGTATGTAGTCTCGTATGCACCACTAGAGCATTCGACGTAGTAAACATCTTACTGCAAGTCAAACACTTATAACGTTTTTCCCCTGTGTGAGTCCTCGTGTGCGTTGACAAAGGCCCCGGTTGTGTATAAGCCTTATCACAATACTTGCATTTAAAAGGTCGTTCACCAGTATGGATGACTTTGTGTCTTGTTAAAATAGATATTTGGGTAAACTTTTTGTCACAGAAATGACATTCATAACGTCTGTCACCGGTGTGGATTCGTTTGTGCATTGTGAGACGTACAGAACTTGCGAAGGCTTTGTTGCACTCATCACACTTGTAGGGACGTTCACCTGAATGTATTCTAGAATGTGTGAGTAAATCATTTTTTACTACAAAGCCTTTGTTACAATAAGTGCATGTAAATGGTTTTTGTTCACTATGCACAAACATGTGCCTTGAGACATAACTTAACCGTGAAAAGCCTTTATTGCAGATTTCACACTTGTAAGGACGATCTTCAGAATGGGTCACCTCGTGTCTTGCTAACTCGCTAGGGCTTTTGAATACTTTTGTGCAAACTTTGCATTCATAAAGGCCTTCTCCTGTGTGATATTTCAGGTGAGATGTTAGATGACTTTGGCGAGAGAATGTCAAACCACAGTAGGAGCATTGGAGTGATTTAGAACAAGCGTAGGAGTGATTTTTTAAGGACAAAGAATTTGTGAAGGTTTTGTTGCAGATGGTGCAGACGAATGGACCGGTGTGAGTTCTGATATGTGATGATAAAGAGTCTTTGCGGGTGAAGACTTTTGGGCAATATGTACATATATAAGACTTTTTTCTTGGAATTTTTGGCACTTTGGAGCCTTTACGTACTTTGTTTCTTACAGCCTTTATGAGAATTACATCATCTTCTTCTTCTAAATATATTTCTGATTCAAATAAATTGGCACAATCTTTGGCATAAGTATTATCCATTTTATAATATAATTTTTACTTATTTTTGTCATATTTGAATGCACATTACTTTAGTTGCTTTATTGATTTCTTGATCTTTTGCTGACATTTCAATTTCTTTCTTGTCGTATAAAAAAAACATATAAACATAACTTAAACAATATTTTAAAATATGTTTCACTAAATTTTATATTGTAACTAATAAATTTATCACAAATTAATTTATTTAAGTCATTTTGATACTAATTTAGAATTTTCTAAAAATTGTAACCTCAATTTAACATGGCTGTCAATTGACAGGTAAAGGCGCTGCCACACATGGCGTCGAAAAGACGAAAAAATAAAGGCGCTGTCACACATGGCGGCATTTTGAAAAGACGAAAAAGTAAATTTTGCATTTCTAAAATATAAACTAGTGGGGTGGGTGGCATCGTGCCTTAAGGCAAATTGCTCAAACTTCCCGTACCGTAACAAAATGTTCGAGGAATACTGAATGTTTTCAAATAAATTATTATAAATATTGTAACATTGTCTAATATTTATAAGTATTATATAAACAGAATTGCAAAGTTGAAATTATTTGTTATTAGTATTGGTATATTAGAACTATAGTCAGAATTAAAAATAAAAGCTGAATTATTTTTGATATACAAAAAATTAAAAAAAAAAAAAAAAATGGAGCAAAAAAATTTTTTTTGCAAATCAATTATTTTGTTAAGAACAAGCAGAAATTTTTTTGATCATTCAAATCGGACGCTTAGTTTTTCTCAAAAACTGCCATTTTTTACATATTTAGCTCGTATCTTCGAAATGGCTGGGCCTACCTTTGCCAAAAACTAATAAACACTTCTCCCAATCATTACAATTGAATGTTTTTTAGATCATTCAAATCGATACTTCGTTCTCTCAAAAATCGATTCTATTTTCTGCACTCTTTGCTCCGTATCCCGAAACGGCTGGACCTGCCTTTTGCCAAAAACTAATCAGCTTTCTCCCTATCGATAGGAATCGAATGTTTTTTGAACCATTCCAAATCGGTTGATCCGTGCGCCCGAAAACGTGACTTAAATTTGTATCCATACATACATACATACACCACACACATCAATTTTTTCTGAGGTATGCCAAAATGTCAGAAACCTTCAAAACGTCGAGAAATGTAAAAATTTTCAATTCCGATTTTCGGCCCATTACAATAACTTACCCTACGGGAAGTTAACTAGTGGTGTATGGCATCGTGCCTTAAGGTAAATTGCTGGTCCTTTCCGTACCTTAATGAAATATTATTATAAACAATGTAACTTTCATGGTTCTTATTTTATAAAAAGTAAATAAACAAAACGTAAGGGGGCTATTTATCTATGGGGCAACCATTAAACACATGAGGTTTTTATTGGGGGGGGGGGGTATTGACAATAAATCACCAAATATTACGTAGGGGGAGGGGTATAGTAAGATATCACGTGTATCTAATTTTTAATTGATTTCTTTAAAAAAAATTCAAAAATTTAAATTTAAAAAAAAAAAAATACAGTTTTATCACGTGATGTATGGCTGGGGAGGGGGGTGGTATTTTTGAATATCACCATGTACAACCAAGGGAAAGGGTGGGTCCAAAAATCCTTAAAAACTCGCTCACGTGATTAATGGACGCCCCCTAATCAATCGGATTTATAATGAAGAACACTGTCTAATATTTCTTAGTATTATGTAAATTGAAATGCAAAGTTAAAATTAGTTATTTCAAGTATATAAGTGATATTTAGAACTTAGCTAAAATTCGAATTAAAATCCGAATTATTTTTCGGAATCAAAAAAAAAATTTGAAAAAAAATTAGAATAAAAAGAATAATCTTTCCTCAAAAGCAATCGTATTGTCAACAAAAGCAGAAAGTTTTTTAAATCATTCAAATCGGACTCTTAGTTCTATCAAAAACTGCCATTTATTGCGCATTCAGCTCTGTATCTTCTAAATGGCTGGACCTGCCTTTGCCAAAAACTAATCACTTCTTCTCGCAATCATTACAAATTGAATGTTTTTTTGGTTTTTTGGATCAATTAAATCTGATACTCCGTTCTCTCATAACATCGATTTCTATTTTCTGCACTCTTTGCTCCATTTCTCCGTAAAGGCTGGACCTGGCTTAGCCACAAACTAATCAACACATTAATAGGAATCGAATGTTTTTTTAACCCTTCAAATCGGTATCCTATTTGATAACCTGTCTTTGTGATTTCATTTATGGTCTTATAGCATAAGCAGTATAAAAAAATTCAGAAAAATAATAATATAGTATCTGCGCTAAACGAACAATACACACTTGATTTTACCACACAACATAATTGCTTCAGCTAAATTAGTTTCTAGAATTTTCATATCTCGTACATAATTAGTTGCTTTTTGGCAATTATAATTTATAAAGTACTTTATAAATTTTCTTACTAATAATCCAATAACACCATTGTTTTAGTTCAAATTTTAGGTGAATTATTTGTAAAATCTAGTTCATATATGCACTATTCATCTAAGATCAACTTGTTAAATATTCTATATCCAATGCCAAACAAATTAATTTATGACACATGAAACACAATCTAAATCATTTTTTTAATAAGTAGAAATATTTTTATGCATTGTTAAATATTTAGTAAAGTAAACCAAAATGCGGCATGCATAAGTTTAAAAAAATAGTGTATATGCAATTTATGGACTTATTGGGTTATTTATTAAAATGAAATATAATTTCATCTGCCAACATATACTGTTGACTGTATCTTACATTATTTTGATTTTCTGGCACATTTCAGCTGCTTTTCGATAGTATAATTCAGACGTTACATTTTTGTTGTATATTATATTCCAAATATTGTCAACTAAATTCAAATTCAAGTGAATTGAATTTTAGCAGATGACTGTTCAAATGGGTTCAAATGTCAAACAATGATAAGCATTTTTTTTTTTAAATATTTGCCATTTATTTCTACAATATTCATTAAATCTTAAAATTTCTCTTTGACCAACTCTGAAAAGAATTATCAAGATCCAAATACCCATTTAGGAAAAGTATCAAATCATACACCCAGAAGAATTTATATATATATATATATATAATATCTATATATATATATATATATATATATATATATATATATATATATATATAAACAGTAAATGACAAAATAAATAAAATAAATAAAACGTAAATGACAAAAAGTGAGTAAAATAATAACAATGTTATTTTCATTTAGGTTTTTATTATTAATAAAACTATAGATTTACTTCAAATTTTCACTTTCTTTGCTAAATCTCACTTTGCAGCATGACCAATAATTCATGTCGACTCAATGTTTTTTTCCGACTTATATATTTTATACACTTAGCACATTTATGACATTTTACTTTGTTGTTGCACTGCCAAGTGTCCTTTTAATAAGTGCTTGAGTGAACGTTTTACTGCAGATTTCACCTTTAAAGGGCGCTCTTCAGAATGGGTCTTCTCATGAGCATTTAACATTACTTTTGTTCTAAATGCTTTACTGCATGTTTTCACAGCTGAAAGGGCGTTCTCCGGAATGGATGCTCATGTGTCTTTTCAAAGTGCCTGATTGTTGAAAGTGCTTTCGCATAACGGACATTCATAAGGACGCTCTCCGTGTGGGTAGACATGTGTCTTTTTAATCGACTGATTTATCAAAATTCTATTACATATTTCACAAGCAAAATTTTTATTGTGAGTAAGCTTGTGGGTTTCCATATACTCTAATTGTGTGAATGCCTTTAAGCATATTTCACATTTGTAAGGTTTGTTCTCTTCGGTGTGAACATACATGTGAGTAGTTAAATGATGTGGACGTAGGAATCCTTTATCGCAGATTTCACATCTGTAAGGGCGTACTCCACTGTGAATAAGCATGTGTTGCTTCAAAATGATTCAGTCGATTAAATTCTCGGCTGCATAAGTTGCATTGGTATCCTTTTTCACCGGTATGAGTTCTGAGATGTATTTTTAAACGACCTAAGTC